AATTTTTGTTTGGGTTCAACTAATTAATTTTTGGACCGGTTTTAAATTGGCTTAAAACTTGATATTTATTTAAAATTGACACGTTTATCATTCAAAAAATAAGATTAAAAATATCATTTCTAGATAAAACGGGTATATTTGGGTTAAAAGGCTTTCGTGGTTTAAAAAATAATTACATGATCAATGTGATAAATGAATCAAACTAGTCAGATTCGCGTAATTTTTTTTTAGCAATTTAATAAATGGGTTAGATTCGAGTTCAAGCATATTTAAGTGAGGGTTAACTTTGAATCAAAACGAAACTCAGCCTACTAACCCGTATTAACACCTCTACTTTTCATAAATAATACTAATGTTGGATGATTTTGAATTGGAAAAAAATTTTGCTTAATAATATCCTAACATATTTGTCATCAAAATGGACTTCAAAAGCTTCGGATTTGCATTAAGATCAGTGCAATATCATATATATGCACTAATCTTGACATAAATCTAGGACTTATGATGCCCTTCTTAATTTTTCCTTCAAATTCGTGGGTACCATATACTTGAATTGAATGGTCAATCAATAGTAATAAATAAAATTTCCCTAAATTATAAAAATAAAAAAGAGGAACATTAATAGCAATTTCACATTTGAGTAACAACAAAAAATATTTAAAATTAGTAGGATGAGAAAAATATAAAAAATAAAAAATTAAACCGTCCCCTCTGTTTTTGGCCTTTTGATATGCAAACAAACGCCCTTGTGCTCGACACATGCACCATAAAATTCTCTCAATAATCAATTATTTAAAACAATATTGAATTTCTTTTATACTTATATGCCACTTAATTAACAAAATTTCAAACCCTATAAATTAAAACACTAATTTAATTATGCTTGTCATTACTAGTTCTTTGGTGAACAAAGTTCAATAAACCACTATAAAATTTTATTTGGGACAATTTTCTTATTTATTGTTTATTTTAATATAATTTTTTCTTAAAAGTTTTTTGTTTATCTATTAGAAAGCTTTTTTAGAAAGTAGCAAGAAAGTTGACCCAAACTAAGGTTACTGTTTTCTGAAACAATTTTCTAGCATAATTTTTTTTAATTTAATAATTTATGTACTAAAAAAATTATTTTAGAAAGCACTAAAAGAACTGTCCCAAACAAAACCTATGCATAATTTTAAGAATCAAAATTATGAAAAAAATCTACTTTATAGAATATTTTTTATGAGTTCATTAGTATCCTCTCAACAAAAATTTGTTTTCATCGAGTACTAATTAATCAAATAATTTATTGACACCTCTGAGAGCAATAAAAAAGACTTAAAAGAGATTTTGTAAAAGAAAAAAATATTTATTCTAGAATAAATTTATTATGTCATTATCAAGTTAATATCCAAACATTTTATTAATTTTAACCTAAATTTAAAAGCACACAAATATATTATGGTTAGTATTCAAATTTTCTAAAATTCATGAATCAGCACACATGTGACAATGTCCCCCTCAACGCTCATGTGATTATGTCTCCCTCTCATGAAATATGTGGTAAAGGTGAAATTATTACGTGAGGAGGTCAGATACAGAGAACCGTTCGGTTTGTCTTTGTGAATAGTAAAAGCGCAGTAAACCGCACTTTTACTGTTCACCACTGCACTTAAATTGTTCACAGAGACAAAATTAAACGGTTCTCTATATCCGATATCCGCACGTAATCTCTCGTCGTGAAGGGTTCAACTCCTAATGATATTGGGCTGGTTAAAAATATTTATGAATAAATTTCTTATTCTATATTAAATAATTGTAATAAGTATTGAATTTAATTAATTTGGCCCATTAAGAGTTCATTTAAGATGACTTTCTTAGTTATTTTAGAAAATTGTAAAAAAGCTACCTCAAAGTTTGACCGCTTTTGAATTTGCACTTAGATTATTGTTCCTCATAGTATCATATCTACGCACTAATCTCAATGCAAATTCAAGACATGCATTCTAACACTCGGTATATTATAATATCTTTTTATATTTATTTTTCTTGATAATTATTCGTTCATGGTCAATATAAATTAACCAGACATCTCGCAAATAAGGCAACTTTAGTTAGAACTAAGGTGCATTTGAATTTAAAAAATTGTCCCTATTTAATCCTACATTATCATGTAAGTCTAATTTAATCACTAAGTGTACAAAATTGATAAAAAATGGTCTATTTTGTTTTATATTGTGGTCAAATTTATAAGTCAAGGGGCATAATTGAGATTAATTTTATATCATAATGATAATAAGGGACCATTTTTTATGAAAAAATTTTTGGAAAATAACGAGAAAGTAATAGTAAAGCAAAATTATAATTGTGATCTAAGAAAATAAAATAGTAAAAAAATTGTCTGAACCGAATCCTTAATATATTTTTTTTTAGTGTGAAATAGTTTTAAGCGAATTAAATTTCAAATTAAAAAATTTATATATACTGAATTTACTGTAAAAAAAAAAACAGAAAGATAGAATTATGAGGCTATCATCTCTTACCAACTGTAGCAGAGCTGTATGTGGAGATGCCAGGCATACCGACGCTAAGATTTCCTGTAATGACGGTTCTGCCCATGCCATCCCCCCAAAATACCAAATTTGTCTTCTCGAACGGCACTCTCACGCTCTCATCGTACACTCCTTCTCCGATCCGGATCACGAACCACTCGCCGGTGACATTCTCCGGCGCGTCATCCACCGCTTCCTGCACCGTCCGGTGATCACACCCGTCTCCTTCTCCGCACACTGTTAGATTCACCGCCATCTCCTTCGGCACCCCGCGGCGACGCCAGTCATTAGACTTCGACGAAGTCGGCGTGCCCCAGTAGCCATCACGCTCAGTCTGGACTGGCGCCCAGAGGGTCATGTTGGTTCCATAGCGCTGAAGCGCGGCGAGCATGGCGAGGCCGTCGGAAGTTCGGTTGGCGAGTTCGGCGATGAAGGCGGAGGTATTGGCGGCTTGAAGGGTAGATGAACAACCGGATAGGTACTGTTGGGCGGCGGCAGCCCAGTAGCGGGCGTCGGCGGAGGAGAGATTGGAGGCGGCGGAGAGGCGGCGGAAGGAGTAGGGGAGTACTTCGAGGCAATTGTGGGCGGCGGAGGTGAGGTTGGAGGAGGTGGGGGAGTTGGCGAGGATGGAATGAGTGATGGAGATGGCGGTGGGGATGTCGTGGAGGGAGGAGTTGAAGACGGAGAGGATGATGGTGGAAGCGGAGGGGGAAGGGGGGAGGGAAGGAAGGGTGGCGGAGAGGCGTTGGGAACATGAGTAGGGGAAACGGGAGGACTTGCAGGCTTGGATGAGTTCTGGAGAGGAGGAGGAGGTGCTGGGGAGGAAGAAGAAGAAGAAGAAGAAGAAGGAGAAGAAGAAGAGGTAGAGAAGAGGATGATGCATTGGGGAAGAAGAAGATCAGTTGGGTTTGGGAGGAGAGAATTTAATAAGTTCACGTATTTGTAATAAGTTAATGTTTGAGTAATTTGTTTGATATTGTGACGTTAGAAAAAAATTAATGTAAGAATATTTTAATGAATTATATAATAATTTTTAAAAAAGATATCAAATTTTAAATGCTAAATATTTACAACTAGTATATAATTTTATAAAAAATAAAATATCTATTTCTTTTTTTGTTAATTTTTTTTTTAGTTTTAAATATTATCTTCTCATTTTGATTTTGTAAAATAACTAGCACACATGCAAGCATAAGAGTTAGTAAAAAAGAATTCTTAAATAAGAATATAAATTGATATGTAGTAGATTACAATCTAGATTGTATTATGTGATATGAGTCAGTCAAGAAATTTGATCATATTCATTTGCATTAGTAAAAAAATTATAAATAAATTATCGCAAACTAATTGTAGTGTAAAATTCAGATCTTACTATGTGATTTGACCTAATTTGAAATTGAATTATTACTAAAATATTTTTTTTTTCTTAATTTTCTTAATTTGAAATTTGAACTAATTACAATGTATGATGCATATCTATTCTACACTAACCTTCCTAATTTAATCTAAGCCATAAAAATTAAGAAGGCAAATTATGCATATATGACTAATCAAACAATAAGATGTGAATCATACTATGTGATTAAACGTATATGAATTTTGATAATGTTTTATGCTTAAACTAATCATACTTTACGATACTCAGATTGTACCGTAAGATTGACCCATATTTTTGCAACTCAACTTGTTTTAGGGTACATTTATTGGAAGCTTAATATAAATACTCTTAAAAAACCCTTAAACAAAAGAGAGACAAAAAAAGTCATATAGAAAGGAGTGTCTTATGTGATATATTTTTATGCTTTTCATTTGAAAACCCCAAAAGTAAAACTCACTTACGAACTTATGCAACAATTAATTTTTTACACTTCTCTTAAATATTATTCCTTTAATGTATGATGTTAAGCGTTGAGAGTTGTTATTTGATTGAGTTTATAAGACATATGTGAGATTTCAATGTCATTGTGTTGTAATAAGCATGTCGTAGCTAGCGAGCTATCTCACTTAAAGTGGGAAAAGAAATGATAGAGTTTCTCTAAGCCTCACCCCTTTAATGCTCTAAAGTTAACATAATTAATACTTATAGTATAATATCCTGTATACCAATTTTTATCACTTAAGCTACTTGTGTTGTTTAGTGATTGAGCTATTAAATTCATGCATAATGTTTATTTTTCTTGTGTAATTTGATTTAATGATCATATGTATATATATATGTGCCACCATGGATGTAAAAATTCAAATCTTTTTTTAAAAAAGATAAAGACTAAGCACATTGAAAAGAAACAAGAAAAGATAAGGATAAAGTAATATAAATTTGATACTAATATTATTTATTTCCAATGTAAAAAATTAAGTGATATCAAATGGGTGTATCACAATGACAGAAGTTCAAATTAGAAAGAGAAGTCTGAGAAAGAAGGAGAGAACATAAAGCTTGAAAAGAAAATATAAAAAGCCTTACGGATCAACTTAAACATTAAGCATCATGAATTGGGTTTGAAGAAGAAACAATGTGTGTTCAATGGAAAAAGACAGCTTAAAAGCATCCGACATGGAGCTATTTTGCTTGATTAAATAATTGCTTGCTAGTTTTAAATCCATAGAAAGATAATTTTAGCTCATATACCGGCCCTTAAACCGGTTCACGGTTGAACCGATCGGACCGGCCGGTCCGGTCCGATTTTTAAAGCACTGGATTATACTCAACAATCTAGATTTTTTTTAATTCATTTAATCTAAATTAATTACTCTACAATCTAGATTGTATTATGTGATATGAGTCAGTCAAGAAATTTGATAAGATTCATTTGCATTAGTAAAAAAATTATAAATAAATTATCAAAAACTAATTGTAGTGTAAAAGTCAGATCTTACTATATGATTTGACCTAATTTGAAATTGAACTATTACTAAAATATTTTTTTCTTGATTTTCTTAATTTGAAATTTGAATTAATTACAATGTATGATGCATATCTATTCTTCACTAACCTTCCTAATTTAATCTAACTAAGCCATAAAAATTAAGAAGGCAAATTATGCATATATGACTAATCAAATAATAAAATGTGAATCATACTATGTGATTGAACATATATGAATTTTTATAATTTTTTAAGCTTAAACTAATCATACTTTACTAAACTCAGATTGTATCGTAAAATTGACCCATATTTTTGCAACTCAACATGTTTTAGGGTACATTTATTGGAAGCTTAATATAAATACTCTTTAAAAAAACCCTTAAACAAAAGAGAGACAAAAAAAGTCATAAAGAAAAGAGTGCCTTTTATGAGATATTTTATGCTTTTCATTTGAAAACCCTAAATGTGAAAATCACTTGCAAACTTATGTACCAATTAATTTTTTACACCCCTCTTATATCTTATTCCTCTAATGTATGATGCTAAGTGTTGAGAGTTGTTATTTGATTGAGTTTATAAGACATATGTGAGATTTCAATGTCATTGTGTTGTAATAAGCATGTCGTAGCTAACGAGCTATCTCACTTAAAGTGGGAAAAGAAATGATAGAGTTTCTCTATAATCCGTCAAGGAGAAGGGCATCTCTGCCTAGTGGTAGTTGAATGAGAAAGTAATGAATCATTGAGCTAGAGGGATCAAGCTCGGGCTCAAGCATTCGTGTGAAAACACACACACACACAAAATCATTTTGCATTTCCTCTTTTCCTAGCTCTTTACATACTTATGGTTGCTTTAAGCCTCACCCCTTTAATGCTCTAAAGTTAACATAATTAATACTTATAGTATAATCTCCTGTATACCAATTTTTATCACTTAAGCTACTTGTGTTGTTTAGTGATTGAGCTATTAAATTCATGCATAATGTTTATTTTTCTTGTGTAATTTGATTTAATGATCATATGTATATATATGTGTGCCACCACGGATGCAAAAATTCAAATCTTTTTTTAAAAAAGATAAAGACTAAGCACATTGATATCAAATGGGTGTATCACAATGACAAAAGTTCAAATTAGAAAGAAAAGCCTGAGAAAGAAGGAGAGAACATAAAGCTTGAAAAGAAAATATAAAAAGTCTTATGGATCAACTCAAATATTAAGCATCATGAATTGAGTTTGAAGAAGAAACAATGTGTGTTCAGTGGAAAAGACGACTCAAAAGCATCCAATATGGATAAGGTAAATAATTTATCCTTTGATGAGCTATTTTGCTTGATTAAATAATTGCTTGCTAGTTTTAAATCCATAGAAAGATAATTTTAGCTCATATTACCACATCAATAAAAAAGAGCTTTGCATCATTAGAATATTAGTTTATCATATTACTATACTAAAAATAATCATTGTGTAATGAGTTTGGAAAAATATATAATATTCTTCTGAATATTTTTTTTTTTGGAACTTAGATAAGTCCAATCATGACATTCATAATATAATATTATTAATAACATATACAAATAAGGATTTAATAAGAAGTTTTAAAGTTAAGATAAACCACGTGCCACTACATTCCATTTACATATACTTCCTAGGGTAATAAATCATATGTATATTCTTCTAACAAGAAGAAGATGTTTAGGTTAGATAGATTCATGAATCCCATGTCTAATTTTATTTGTTACTCATGTGGCATGCATGTTTCATAGGACACTTACGCACCTATATGACAGATAATAGAATTGATGTTTAGATTCCTAAAAGAAACACCACATGTCATATCATATATTCCTCCACCATCACTAGAGAAACTAAGATGGTCACAGTGGTTGCTATATTCCAGCTAATTTCATCATAGAGTTTAATGTCATATGAGCTATTGTACTATGTTCTAATAAGACTTAACTAGCACTATATTTATTTGTCGCTCCTTGATCTTGAGAATCCATAAAATCACAATCAAAATATCATCGCACCTAAATAATTATACAAAATGACTTTAAAATAATGCACGTGCATACATAAATGAAAGAAAACATCAACCTTAAACTACTCAATTTTTTCACAATCGCATGATCAATCCTATAGCTCTTTATATATACAATCTATTCCTTCAAAAGTGTTTTTATGATACCACTTTTACTATCATGACTCAACCTAACAAATCCCATGTACCCTAATAGGTTGTAAAGTCAAGTATGAGACTTGGGAGTCACCCAATATCTAATTGAAGAGAAATTTTTTTTCATCCAATTTAATAACAAAGAGTAAAAATCATCAACATTCCAAAATAAAACATCATTCTATACATATGCATATCTCAAATATATTCAAATCAAAATATTTGATACAATAATCATGATACAATAATTATTTTAATAAAATGCACTTAACCCATGATTAAAAAAAGGGTCCATCAATAATATAAAAGAAATACCTCTAACAACAACTCATTAGATATACTCCATATATAGTTCCATTACATTTATACATGTAAACATATGTATAGTGAACGGATAATTCATTAGATTATACAGAAACTACAACAATATTCAATGCAAATAAATAAAATGACATATATTTCGTCATTATTAAATAATGAAAGCCAATGATTTACCGAATCAATATTTTTTTTGCTACTCTTATACATGTATCATGCATAGTACAATCATGATCAATTTTATTATGTTAGAATCATATGTAAACGTGTCATAACATTAATTTCTCGGGGTATAATAGAATTAAGAATTAAATCCTTAAATCTACTTTTCTCAATCATAATACAGAAAAACATAGAGCTAATAAGATAGTTCTAAATAATATTAACCATTTAAAGTATCATTAAATTTCATCTCTCAACAAAAATTATATATAATAATCTAGTTAATACAAAGTCCATACATAACAAATAAATATATGTATTACAAAATTTCTCAAAAATCTTGATCATGATGATCCCACCCTTATCAATTCTACTTAGCTAAACCATTTTCCTTTC